TCTCTCTCTCTCTCTCTCTCTTTCTCTCTTTCTCTCTTTCTCTCTTTCTCTCTTTCTCTCTTTCTCTCTCTCTCTCTCTCTCTCTCTCTCTCTCTCTCTCTCTCTCTCTCCTCCCCTACACACTGCTTTCTCCTGCTCTCTCTCCATTTTGTCCATCCCTCATGTCATAATCCTTTTTTGTACTTAATACATTGGTAATGGTCCTGTGTAATATCTCAGGGGAGTTGTGGGAGTATGATCCTGGCAGAGGTTCGTGGGTGCGCAGGGCAGCTGATGCTCCACCAGCGCCTGAAGCTGAGTCACCTCCTAAAAAAGAAAAGTCCTTGTCAGAACCTCCTCAGGAAGGTAAGTAGTTATCATTATATTTACCATTAACATTTTCATATTTATTCACATTTGTGTTTTATTATTATTATTATTATGTTTTGTTACCGTTTGTGTTTTACCATTCTTCTACATTCTTTCTTTCCCCTATCATTTTTCATCATTGTATATGTTGCTTTTTATTAGTATGGGTAACAGTTCTAATCAACTTCTTTTTGTGCAGACCTAATGTTAAAGAACAATAAAATCAGTTTATTATTACAAAACTATGTAACATGAAAATTCAATTGTATAAAAGACATGAATACTGTATGTATATAGATAAAAACAATGGAATTTTTTCTTAGCAGAGAGTGAAAATGGTGGCAATGCAGAAATCAAGAAAAGGAGTACACCAGAAGAACCTGTCATTGAGGAAGTGACAGCCAAGAAACCACGGGTTGAAGCTCCAGCAGATGTTGAGGAGCCCGAAAACACCCTGCAGGAGAAGGATACATTCAGTGACATCAGTGATGATGCTGATGACATTCTTAACCAAGAGGTTTGTAGTAATCAAGTTTCAGAGAGAGGAAAGTGGTAGGCCTATACTCTTTTATGTTTAAATTGTCTTTTTGGAAAGTTTTGAGATGAAAAATTAGAGGTAATACAAGGTCTGTTAGTATTAAGGATAGTACATTCATTTCAAGTGAGAAGGAGGCAGGCAGACCACAAAGAATAAGTTAAACACTCCTTTTTATTAAGTTTCAGACGATTGAACAACATAGATATTCTACATATTCTGTTAAGCAGAAAGGGTAGAGTATTGAGGTGCAGTCACATGAGCACTTTATAACAGACAGATTTCTGTTTCTATACATGCACTCCTAGGTTGCAGATGCTATTTCCTTGAGTTTTGTTATGCAGTAATCATGTAGCACTTTTTTCTTGTTTTTCTTTGCCCAGGTTGGAGGATACAATGATGATGATAGTCGTAACTTGAGTTCAAGTCAGTTGGAGGTAAGAGGGAAATTAGTATTGTCATATGGAATTTGTCTGAGCATTTTCTGTCATTGAAAAGTGAAATATTGTCAAGGATGCTTGATAATAGATATCTGTGTTTTGCAAAAGTAAGCAATTAACTTTTCTTTTAATATTCCAAGCCTGCCTTTTTCCACCAGGATTCACGGAACTTGAGCCGTGAGAATGGACCATCATATGATGGTAAGTAAATCTTTTAAATAGAAATAATCTAGGTGTCTATTGATAATTTAGGATGTATATATACCCCCCCCCCCCAAAAAAAAAAAAAAAAAAAAAGATATTCAGTGCAGTTCTGTTATTTCTTGACTTTGGAGTAAGTTGATACTTTTAAATGAGTGTGATAAGCATATTATTCAATGCATACAGCACATTTCCACAGAGAGGCACTTTTGTAACTATATCAAGACTATACCATGGATTTCTTCTCCCCTCAATATTTTTCCTTCGGATGTGTCTCATTTTCATGCCCAGTTTTTTCATGTTACTAAAATCTCAAAGAAGAATATAATGGAAAGCTAAAGGGTGTTATTCCAGTGACAATCATTCATGTTTAAATAATCATTTAGTAATTATAATCTTCAATTTCTTAAACTCTAACAATCATCTTGAATTTTGAACGTGAATTTTCATAGCTTTTTTTTTTTTTGAATAAGGAAAACTATATTTGATAACTCCATTGTCTAAGGTTAGTCTAATTAGTAGCCAACATAACATTACTAGAGTGTTGAAATGTCCTACCGGTATTCTTTTCATCACTTTCTAAAGAAAATTAAAGTGGCGAATGTGATGATTTTTCAATCATCACTTTCTTGAATACAAGATCTTTGTCTTGTAAGTCAGACATGTTGCAGTTCTATTACTTTTTTTTTTTTCCATACTAATATTTATTTTTTATTAATTAATTTATTATTATTATTATTTTTTTACAGATCTGTTGGATGATGAAGAAGCCATTCACTTAGAGGAGATCAGTGATGATGAGTTAGAAGAAGATCGTCAGGCTAAATTTAGTAAGTGTTGATAAATAGACAGTTTTTTTCTCGTCGCAGAATAAAGGCATCAGAGGTGGTGGTTGGAGGAGAAAGTTTGTAATTTTTTTACTGTATGATTTAAATTTGTCATGTTCTATTAAAATTATGTGATGATTATTTGTATGATCTTGGGCTTCATGCTGTATGGGATACTTCAAAGAAGGAGTTTTGATTTTTACAGATGTTGCGGGTGCTTTGGATATAAACTGGGCTTCTCTTGTGCGTGATACCCCAGCAACACACGAGGTTGCAGCAGGAACAGCTCTCAAGAGATTCAGTCCTGCTCACCTGCTGGCAAGGATAGGAGTGTCTACTAGATATGCTAGAAAAGAAGTGATAGAAAAAGTCAGAGCTGTATGTGCTGCAGATGCTGCTAAAGATGAAGGCAAGTTCACCGGATTAATTATCTGTCTGGGAAGTGTTTCACATAAAGAAAGTATGGTAATAGAGAATGTATAAATGCATGAATTTTAAGAAAAATTCCTATAGAAATATATTGGCATTCTGCCTGGTTTCAGCTGAAATTAACTTGTTCATAGTGTAAACACTTCTTGAAACTAGAATGTGTCATAATCTAAATTATTTTATATCTTCAACTGAAAACCCCCTCAGGATAGTAACAATGGATAGCTGATTCTAAGTTTTGTAGGAGTGGTGTTGGAGAGAAAAATATAATTCATTTCTCAGTTAATCATCAGTGACTGTCATTTTCTGTTGGAAACCATTCCCTGCTGTAATTAGTGTACATAATTTTGTTATACAAGTTCTCTTTGATACTGTGCACTTTCTTTTGTTCTGTTCTAAAATATGATATGAATTACAGAACCCAAGGACATTGAAGTGCCACCTGTAGTGGACTCCACAGGTGTTGTTCGCCTAATTAAGGCACGAGAGGAGAGCCGCCAAAGAATCCTGGATAGTATTGGTCCCAACAGGAGGGCTCTCTGTGCAAGGCAGGATATTGCCCTAAGGTAAATTTTTTTTTTTTTTTTTTTTTTTTTTCCACATCTCTTGTAAAGTAGGACAGCTTGTCCTCGTAAATCCAGTTGCTTCACTGTTTGCACGTAGCCAAACATTCAGGCATTAGGCTTACTCGAGTGGCCACTCTCATGGGTGTGTGGTTTGCAGTGTCAAGACTCCCCTTTGTAATGTTATCTCTTTTTCTATAGAAGAATTTTTTTGCTTTTGTTTTTACCATTTGAAAATTTGTCATTTGATATGCTATATTCCGATGATGATAGACTGTATTAGTTGTACAGACTCCATATTGTCTTTAGGTAGTTCATAATTCAGTGCAATAATATCAATAGTAAGTAACATTTTGTTATTTGTGTCATAGAAATAGTGTCCTTCCAGGAGCCAGCACTCTTCCAATCATGGCCCATGGATGCTACATTCCACACATATTTACTGAATAATACAAGAGCCCTTTCCTAAATGCCTTCCAAGAGTTTTGTACTCTCATGGCTATTCTTTCCCATCACCCTGGCCTTCAGCCAAAATTCTCATGATAGCAAGTTCCCATTACCCATGCCTTCAACCAAAATTTTCCTTGACATATTATAACATCACCCACTACTCAAACTAACTTTTTTCATGATGTGATATTCACATCATCTGGATCTAAGGGGTTAAAAGCCACCAATTTCTCCTGTATCAAAAAGCTGCTTTACAGGAGTGCAGTTTGTTTGAGCCCTTAGATTTAAAGATTTTAATAATGCATATGCATGTTTGTGCAGAATGTTCTAAGAGCAAATTCACGTATATAACTTATGGATATTGTGTCTAAACTTTTCTTTGTTACTTGGTCACTAATTTGACCATTGTATTCATTATGCTTTTTCCACTGTCCCACAATTCTCCAATCAGACAAATCTCCTCATATTTGCTTTATACAGTAAATGTACCAAACACCAGATATCCATATTATGAATTATAAAATTTCTCATGTTGGGCATATAATCTTGCAGATAAGTCATGTGACAATCTATTTTTCTTTCCAGACGACAACTATGCAATCTCCCGGAACAAGATCTTCTGGGTGACAATCCATTACTTGACAAGGATTTGTTTAGACAGTCAGTCTCTTTACTGAAATCATGTTGAGACCTCCTGTGGACATTATAAAAAAGAATTACTATTATCTTTTTTTATCATAAGCTGAGATGATGCACAAGAGTTGATGATAAATAACTATAAAATTTTCTTATAGAGATATTTTCTTGATTGGGACAGTTAGGTTGAATGATAAAACAGTTGTATTTTATCTGATTTTGTAATTTCTTGTTTTCCACCAGAGTACTTCAACATATATATTGTAGAGTTGTGAAATACATGAATCTGATCATTATGATTTTTTGTTTTTGTAGATCCATTAAAATGTTCTCATTATTTAATATATACATAGCCCCATATCAAAGTAGATGTAAGGGGCTTAAAATATATGAGACATGCACTATGTGTCCCTTATGGTTTTAAATTTTTTATTGAAGTTTCCATTAAAAAATAATACATTTCAATTATTCCAGCAAAACTAAGGATTCAACAGTATAATCATGTGCTTTAAAGGCTTTATGGAATATACCAAGTAATTACTAAAAACCATTATACAAAAAGAGGAGTGGATGATCCAGTAAAATGACACAAAATCAGTTATCCTGTAATTCTGATACTGTATTTTGTACAGAGTAACTAGCAGATATGCATGTTATTGGCAAAGATAATCACATGAGTCCTGAAGCGCACTTACTGACATGGATAAACTTTTAACAAAGTTTCTTGCTTGAACTTTATTTCTTCACATAATAGGATAACATTCAGTATGTTATCAAAGTTTGGCACTGCAGAACACTTGCATATAAGAGCTAAAACAAGAGAAAATTATATACGCAAACAACCTATAACTGAAAATTGTTGTGTACCTATAAATCAGCATGTGTTTATGTGAGTGTGTAAATGATTTCATACTTGTATGTTTATGTGTTTTTATAGGTGCAAAAGTGTAAATGTGTGTGTCAGCTGCAATGCACTGTTTATGGATATGTTTATTTGTGTGTGTGTGTGTGTGTGTGTGTGTGTGTAAATTAATATAAATTATCAAATTCATCCATGACAAATATATGCACATTTAAGTTAATATATCACATTATGAACTTTTGAAGTGATGTACCGAGTCTGTCACTGATCTGAAATAGGGAGAAGTATTAATTGTGAAAATGACACACACATGGTAAAGTCATTATTAATCTGCTTGCTACTGTGGAGACTAGTAAGTTAAGTAGAAAGACAAATCACTATACAAGGCTTACCTTCTGGTAAAAGCTAATTTGACCTTTCAAGAATGATGCAATAGCCTTGTTGAAATCCTTTGTTCGAACAGCCTGGAAGTGGGCTAACTCTGCTTCAAATGCATATGCCACTGTGTCAGAATGGTTGATTATATGCGGTAACTGATCGTATTCGAGCCGTCCTTCTTTGGCATCCTTCTCAGCATTTCTTCTCTTAGCTAGAACATCCTATGCGAAGTTGATTTTGGATTAGTATTATACTCTATTTTATATATGATATTAATTTGGATACATTACTGTCAATGCTAATAAAGATAACCATATGTTAGATAAACCAGTTACTAGGGCAGTCACACACCTTTAATAATGAATTGACGCTTGAGAAAGAGTATATAAGCCCCCTATACTCAAAGAGAAGGTTACTCAGAGGATCCCAGTCATGCTTTGGCTGCATTTCATACATAGTGCCAATTTCCTCATAGGCAGTGCTCATCTCCTGAAGTGCCTGGGATAGACCTGAGCCATCTAAAAAAAAAAAAAAAAGGGAAATCAGCATTCTGAAGAAATAGGAGATGCTGGCATGTGCTTTATGCTTTAGTTGTTTTTTCATGAAATAGGTTGAAAACTTTTTTTCTCGACAAATAAAATATCTCAATAATGTCAACAGTGAAAAATGGTGATAATCTCAATTTCTATACAGTTTTTTTAATATCAATACACAAAATGGAAATGCAAATCAAATATATACAGTACTGCCATGAATATGCAATCATTAGTATTCATGAATGGATAGCAGTTTTCACATTTCAGATCTGATATAAATGTAAAAGAAATTACCATTGAAAGGATCAGTTTCAAATGCTTTGCTGAGTTTAGAGAAAGAGAATGACACCCTATCATGTTCCCGTTTGAAGTCCATCTGGTACCTCTTGGCCTGGTCGAGGCATGTGCTTTGAGCCAACCGCACTGACTCATCCAGCCGCCCCAGGAACGTTGAAAACCCATCTAGTGTGGCATCTCTGTAGTAATAGTAATGTTATTGAAACTGGATCCATAGTTAACATTGGTTTATATTAATTTGTGTGCAAAATGAAATTAGGTGGAATTAAATTCTTGAAGAAAAGACATTCATTTGTCACCAAGTTACTCACACGTGCAAAATATCCAAAGGTTTATGAGGTCGTTCTATGGCCTGGAAGATGTTTGCTCCTACTAGCCTGTCATTTTCAGCGCGCCTCTTGCCTGCCTTCCACATTTTCTCATCATTCGGGCAGGTGATAAAGTGGTGGAAAGTCTCACTCTGTGACAGCACAGGGTGACGGCAGATGCGCTCCACCCAAGATTGCAACATTGTCATGCGGTACTCAATGAAGTCTTCCTCAAAGCGACCTGTTGGATTTTCAGTGTCACTGCTGGTTTTTGGTACATAGATTACGTCCCCAGTTTCCTTTCATTAAAGTGTCATATTCAACAACTGCATGTAACCTGTATTATGTTCATCATTTTGTATTAAAATCTTTATTGTTCTTTTAAAAGAACTTCAACTTTCCATTTGTTACATTTTTTATAGAAATAAATAAATAAATAGATAAATACATTTGCAATATCTGTTGCAATAAAACTCCACTTCATCTTGCTAAGAACATCAAATGAAATTCAATTAAATATTACTGTATCTTATGTTCTACTGTACAACTGTACAGTAGCACATAAGATAAAGCTTACCTGAGATCTGCTTTTCTGGGAGAGGTGGAATGGGCAGAAAGGGAAACTTGAAGGTTAAATGAGTGTGAATCCAGTCAAAGTGTTTGTATCTTCTCCTTGACACCGATTGTTTTGAGAACTGAAATAGGCACTTAAATTCAGACTCACTGGCAAGCAT